AGATGTATGGAGCGCCAACAACCAAAATCAAAAGCAGCAGCGAACCAAAGAGTTCCATTCCTCGAACCCGAGGATGAACCGCAGACGCGTGAACCTTTAGGACCCAACAGGGTCAATTCCGGAGAAACAACTGATCTGCGACCTATCTGGCATACTTCCCGAAGCGAAGTCTACCATCTCTCAGACAGCTGTTACCAGCTCAAGCAAGCAAGAGATGTTTGCAAGAAGGTGCTGTGCAAAAACTGCCTCCATGCAGTACAAGTTGCGGAGATTCGCAGGAACGATCCTTTCCAAAGAGGTGATACACGACCACGTGGCACCGAAAGAGACATTGAGCGCTTCCAGACCTACGATGATGCAAGTAACACTCCTCACATGACACAATTATTCAAGGATGCCTTGCATGCACAAATGGCCGAAGAAGCCATGCAGATTACCTATACATCGATCCCCAAGGGATCCTCGGCAAAGGCCAGAGGTACATCTGCACTCTCAAGTGCCGCATCGTCATCAGCGCCCAAGGCAATGCCACCAGGGCCTAACAAGGCAAACATGTCACCTCCACCTAAGAGTCCTCCGCCAAAGGCGAAAGGAACAGTACCTTCTGATCCTCCAAGACCAAAAGGTCCTACCAGAAGAGGAGGTCAAAATCGGCGCATTCAACGAAAGGCAGCTAGAGAAGCCCACAACAGTGGACTCTGCACCTATGCAGACGCTGCACTTAACGAAGCCAATCAAGGCCAGGCAATTAACGTTACGTGCCGAAACATGGCAGCAAGACACGTCAGCTCTATCGATGCAACGGTAGAAGCAGCCGGCCAGTTTACACAACGCGTGCTACAGCACGTAGAAACATATGATGAAGAGGAACCGTGGAGCACGGAGTTCCTACCAGTCGTGGAAGTCCTATTCAGGAACTTAAGCGGCGACGAAACAACTGTCATACATGACAATCAAACGGTAACTATGCCTCTTGCGAAATACACAGACCTCCTCAGAATCGCACAATCATTGCGAAGCTCTATCCAGAGAGACAAGGAGGAAAGGAAGGAACATCTTGACACCATCCAAGATACTCTATCCAGAGTGGAAATCCTTCTAACAGCACTGAAGGACTCAAGGACAGTCTTTAACCAATTGGTCCATTCCTCACTAGAGATAGAGCGAAGAAATAACAATCTCAAAAATGTCCTCGAGACACTCTTTGACGACCAAAGCTCTGAGGAAGACCAGTCAGAATCTGACAATGAAGAAGTCCTAACTCCTTCTGCACCACAGTACTGGAATAGCCTTTATGCCCACGCCTTATCTCCTTCAGGAGATGAAAGTGAAAGATCATGGGCGTCCTCAGACGGACAGCTTGAAAGAAGAAGGGCTGAACGGGCAAAGGCTAAGCAGCCGCAACCGGCAAAAGCCAAGGCAACTCCAGTCAGCTCACAAGCTGCTCCAAAGGCCGAGCCAAAGGCGACAACATCCAACCATGGATATGATACTGCAGACGCCGCCTTCACCAGGGCTGAGAACAGATTACTCGGAATCTTTTCAAGTTCCGAAGAAGACCACTCAGACCCGGATGAGCCACATCCGAACGTCTATGCTCGAGCCTATGATCCAACCCTGGATCCGAATCTGAGATAAGAAAAATTCTCAGAGTTTCACAACAGTGACTCACAAAGCTCTAACAAGAGCAAAGTGAAAGGCTGCATAATTCGATGTAGAAAACATCACCAGACATGATCTTGTACAGATGATCTCTCTGACCAACATGCATGAGTGTGTGTGCAAAATGAGTGGAGTGTCCTCAGCAGTGTACTTCAGTGCTATACCTAGCATAAATAATATGCTGTTTTTATAATGAGTCCAAACTCCGCAACTGTGACAGTGGGCATAATAGTATATGTGTGAATGTGCGGCCATGCTTCGGTAAAAGAAAATTAGTGTCTGTTTGAAACCATAAACCTCTAAAGGGGTAGCTCTAACAGGTACCTACAGCAATGGCTGCATGCTCATACATATACATTCCGCTGCCCATTGGCTCACAGTGGTTTTACCATATTGAGACAAGACAAGCTCTCCTTGCGTAGCAAGACAAAACAACTACTGTCCGTGTGCAGGGCGCTGCCCTTTGATCCTCAGGGAATAACTGGTCATACACCTCCTCACAAGGAGTATCCCTTGGGGGTGTATCGGCACAGGGGAGGGGGGGGGAGAGGGGGGGAGGGGGGAGAGGGGGGAGGGGGGGAGGGGAGGGGGAGGGGGTTTTCAAAGACGAAAAAGGAGAACAAAATTGCTGGTTTCTTACAGTGAACTGATTTGAACCCAATGGGCTGTGGTGTGGGTGCTGCTTGCAAACAGCCATGGGGTACCCCCCTTTCCCTGGCGGCGCCCGGTTTGCGGGATTTCGGTGTGGAGGAGGGAAAAAGGGAGGTTAACACCTCCAAGCCCATCGAAACCCATCCAACACGCCGCCAGGGTCGGCGGATGCAAAACGGATCGGGCGGTGCAAAACCAACAGGCGCGACCTGAAGGGCCGTCGTCAAACAAGACGGCGAACCCAGAGTGCTGTCTGGCGAGATCTGGTGCTTAGCTCACATGTGGAGCTCGTCAATGGCTGGAGCGGATGTGCGACTTGTTTCTAGCATTGTATCGCCAGGTGACCCCGCCTCCGTCTGAGTATCGCTCCGAACGTGTACACAGATGGTCAGATCATCGAAGCGTCGCCTCGGTTCGCGTCGCACGAAATCCATACTCTAAACGACTCTACGTGAACAGACGCGAGCCACGCGAGCCGTGAAAGAGAATGGCGGTTGCGGAAGTATATGAAGGAAGGTGCGTCAAGTTTGGGGGATGAAGTGGATGAAGAGGAAATTGTAACACTCGTACCGTTCTCTGTTTCACTCAAACCCTGCGGTCCCCCTCTGAATTCGTTTGGATCGGAGGAACAGGAGTTCGCTTGTGCAGGCGACTCGAAAGAAGCCTTCCCGACCGGCGCTGGGAGCGCATCCCGAGCTGCCCGAGCCGGGAGAGCCGAGAGGACCGGATCCGACCGGAGCCGAAGCTGAGACTGTGGTGCACGCCTTTCGCAGGTCGAAGACACCAACGCGATCGACGCGGTCTGGCACATTCCCCCTCTAACCGGAATGGCCTGGGGCTCATCTGCATTTCCTGGGTTGGGACAACTGCCAGACTTGAATCTTCCGAGCAGTAGCCTACAAGGATTGCACGAGAACTCTCTCTCCGACGACATGCAGTGCATGGGTGCTTGGGCTGCCCCGATAAGCAGCAGATGCACACTGTAAATGCCATGGCTAAGACCGGTGTAAACTACGTTCTACATAGTGTCTCGTGCGTCAAGATGCGGCACTTGTAACTGGCATCTTCGTGCCTTATGTACTTCTGGTGAACGAGCTGAGGCATTGTCCTTCCAGCCTCCGAAAGATCCGAAATTTCACTGACGACCCAGGGCCCAAGACGCTGCGAGAGACTTCGCCATGGCACAGGGGTAATCAGCCCGGTAGCCCACACTGCGCCGGCGAACCGTTTCCAAAAAGTGTCGGAATCGCACGTTTCGTTTGCTATCTGCACGAGAAAGATCAGATCTGGATCAAACAAAGTCACCAGCTCTAAACAACCATTAAAGCAATTTGCAATAATGTGTAGGGGCAAGGAGGTATGTGTAGGGGCAAGGAAGGAAGAACGGAAGGAAGTCAGCAAGCAAGAAGAGGAAACGAAGGAAGCAAGGAAGCAGGGAAGGCAGGCCGAAGGGAAAGCAGGGAAGCCGGAATGATAGAGAACTGCTGCTACTGCTGCTGCTGCTACTGCTAGTACCACTCCGACTCCGACTCCTACTCCTCCTCCTCCTCCTACTCCTACTCCTACTCCTACTCCTACTCCTACTCCTACTCCTACTCCTCCTCCTCCTCCTACTCCTCCTCCTCCTCCTCCTACTGCTCCTACTCCTCCTACTCCTACTCCGACTCCTACTCCTACTCCTACTCCTGCTCCTGCTCCTGCTCCTGCTCCTGCTCCTGCTCCTGCTCCTGCTCCTGCTCCTGCTCCTCCTACTTCTCCTACTTCTCCTACTTCTCCTACTTCTCCTGCTCCTCCTCCTCCCCCTACTTCTCCTACTTCTCCTACTTCTCCTGCTCCGACTCCTACTTCTCCTGCTCCTACTCCTACTCCTCCTACTTCTCCTGCTGCTACTCCTCCTCCTATTCGTACTTCTCCTACTCCTACTCCTCCTGATGTCCTGCCGTCCTTCTGCTCCTGCTGCTCCCGCCTCTCCTGCCGCTCCTGCTCCTGCTGCTGCTCCTGCTCCTGCTCCTCCTGCTCCTCCTGCTCCTCCTGCTCCTCCTGCTCCTCCTGCTCCTCCTGCTGCTGCTGCTGCTGCTCGTACTGCTACGACGATGCCGCTCGGATATCGGCGAAATTGTTTAGCGAGAATCTGCGGGCCTAACACCACTCAGCCTGCGCTGCACAAATCCAGATGAAACCGAACCACGGGATCCCGAAATTTTCCAGGAGGTGCTACGCCGGTGGCTATCATCACGAAGATGTCTTTTGATTTGAAGCTACTTCGTGTGTTTGCTAAACCTGACGTGCCAAGCCAAGAAACGCCAATCTGAGCCAAGCGAAGGCATTCTTGAATTCTTAAGAATGCCTATTGAGGATCCAGATTTGGTATTTTTCGATCTCTTGGTGTCTGATTTCCTGATCCAAATTCGATTTGTTCATCCTTCACCTCGCCTCGAGAGGTTCGCAAACAAGTATTCCACGCGCCTGCTGCCTGCTCAAGGAAATGCTCGCATGACCCATGAGGCTAGTCAGGAAGCAGGATGCATCAACACCATAACCGGCGCGGCGGGACGAGTGCAAAGATCATGCAAGAGAAACCGCGGCAAGCAGTCAGAACAGCACCAGCACATCCAGCACACAGGCTGTAGACTACGTCCAGCAGGGCGCGGCAGGGCGCGAGCAAAACGCCGCCGCTTCTGGAGCTCATGGAGACGTTTCAGCTGTCTCAGGTCCTAGGCTTTCAGGCGGGCTGCCTGACTTTCTTGTCGGAGGACCGATGTGCCGTTGCCGCAGGCAGGCTAGTGGTGGAGATTACGCTGCAGACGCAACAGCAGCGATTCATTCAGCACAGCTCTGCAGTGACCTGCCTGGCCCATTCGTTTCAACAGCGGTTAGGGGCATCCGGCCAGAAGCATACAGCACGCACAAAGTGGGCTGAAGTCTTGCTCTGGGATTCGGAAAGTTTCGACGTCTGCGCAACATTCTCATTCCACCAGAATGACGTGGAGGCCATTGGTTTCATTCAAGATGGCGAGGTGCTCGTAACCATAGGATCGGATCGCGACCGGACGATGGCACTTTGGCCGGCTGCACGTGCGGGAGTCTTCCGCATGGGCCGCAAGGACGGGGCTCCGCTCGTGGTTTGTTCGGCCTTCAAGGGTGGTGCCGTTTCTGGTGTGACCGCTGCCCCCGGTAGCAGCGAGCTGCCGCTCCTGTTTGCAACCTACGGCGCACAGCACATGAAGTTCTGGCAGTCTGCTCGCTCTGCACGTCTCAGTGCTGCAATCGACGGGCGCCGGGGAGCTTTTGGCTGCGATGGGGCACCAAAGATGGTTGTTTGTGCGTGCTGGGTCGCACGGGACCGAGCCGTAGCTGGAGGCAGTGCTGGCGAAATCTTCTTCTTCCACGGCAGTCGGGCTGTCAGAAAGATGGCTTTCCAGCCATCTCCCATTGCTTGCATCCTGCCACTCAGGGAATCGCTTGCTGCAGTCCATGCAAACGGAATCTGCACAGTCTTGAGCTCGGGCCAAACCGTCGAGCAAGATTTTTCCACATTGGACTGCTGGCCTGAATCTCGGTTCCGGACACCACTCGTGGCGGGGGCAAGTTGGAAATATGACAAGATTCTACTGTCATCAGGAACGCATCTGGTTTGCGTTGACCTTGTCAACGGTACCAAGGGCATCCGCTCTTGCGAGGTACTTGCATCTCAGCCAAGCTCGCAACTAACAACAGTTGCTGCTCATCCAGTTGAGAACTGCATATACACTGGTGCTATGGACGGGGTTGTTCGCTGCTACGATGGCTCCGACCTGAAGTGCATCGAGAGTCGCAGCTTGCGAGCATCTGCTGGTGTTACATGTTTGGCCATTTCAGGCATCTCTGCTGGTGAGGAGTCTTCTGCCTGGATGGCTGTCGGATGCAGTGATGCGACCATCTCCATCATGAGCGAGAAGACGAGACATTATGTCCTTCGGAGGACGCTTTCAGCTAAGAAAGCCAAACTGACGTGTGCAAGATTCTCATCTGTGGACATGTCCGGGGCTCATCCGTTGTGGCTAGCAGTGGGGACAGAAGACGGTTGCATCCACACATTCCGATTCAAAGAGGCTACATGCAGAGCTTGCGCATACACGGGAGTTCACACTGGAGAGGAGATAGTCTCCAAAGTTGCCACTTTGCGTGGACATGAAGCACCAATATTCGACATCTGCTTTGCGGACACGCTGCCATGCAATTATCTTCTGAGTGCTGACCTCTCCGGAAAGCAGCTTGCGTTTGATGTTCCAATGGCCCGGCGGTTACCGACCCTTGCCTTGGTGCGAGAGGTTCCCTTCTGTCCATGGACCGCACCAGTTGGCTGGCAGATTCAGGGTTGTTGGGCGAATCGCGAGACCAAGGCCTGCGAGTAGCGACTGTTGTCGGTGGGACATGGTGGGACACATGCTGCATGACGCAGGTGAGTCTAAGAGAGCGCCGTTTCCATGAGATCGTCGGCAGGCGGGTTGCAAGCCCCTTAGGAATTCTCCAAGTCGCATGACAGTGCTCGAGGCAATCTATCGCCGTGACCGATGACTGCAGTCTTGAGATCTTCCCCTTCCCGTTGCCGCCCCAGATGAGCACACTGTCTGCCAGATGAGTCACTTAGTCTGGCCGTTCTTAGGTGTGTGGAGCAGCCCTCTGTGGTGCCGGAGCGGTTCGAGGGACCAGGGGCGCGGCCGACAATGTGTCATGCAGTCTGCTAAACCACTTGACTGGGGCCCCCGGCTTTTGAATGGCTGCAGGTTGTGGGTTAGGGTGGACCACTGCCACACCCGGCTGCTTGTGACCCGCTGGTGGCGTAGGCGACCATCTCCTGCTTACTCTTTGATGCAGCGAGTGACAGCTTGATTGCAGCATCGGACACGGCCGAAGCCTCATTGAAAGCTCATCTGTCTGAAGCTGTGAAACAACCCAGTGGCACATTTTGATCGGACTTCTTGCTTAGCAAGATGGTCTGCTTGCGAGGCAATGCTCCTTCTGAACGTATGCCTAGCTTCGAAAGAATAGTCCAATGCCCGTACAATGCGCAAGGTGCTTTTTATTTGGCGGTTCTCCAAGGCACGTGGTGCGCGGTGTTTTGGTGCAACCCGAAATGCTTGAGTTGATTCGGGGTGTTGCAAGCTACATCACCGCCGTCAGGGCTTGCAGTCGGGCCTGAGCATGTGCTGGTGCAGTACGGTGTCGCCATGTGAAGTTTAACGTTCACGCTGGTCTGCTAAGGCTAAGACACGCTTTCCCTGCGTTTGAGTTTGTTGATGTCAAAACCTCACACCCTGACAGTACCTTGGGGTTCTTGATCGCTGACTGCTGGAACTGGCGGAAAATGCCATACAGGGCTCTACCGAAGTCGTAGCGCGTGTCAGTAAATCAGGGCAGACCTTCGGGGAAACGAAAACTCTAAGTGGTAACATTCCACGGTCTAGTTGGGAATACTAGTTCTTTGCCAGACGCCCTATACATCCCAAGCCCTAAACCGCGCTGTAAACCTGCGCAGCATTAGCAGCAAGTAGCAAGGAGGCAAGTGTGTTTGTGCATGTTTGTGGCCGTGAGGGAGACTGGTGACAGGGATAGGACGGCGGGCCACTTCTGAAGCTTCACTTTGCGAGGCAGGCCTCCCGAAATCCTGTCGTGGGGAGTGGTGCGGAGTGGGGGAGGGTTGCAACAAGATGAAATTAGTATGTTTTCAAGTTGAATTATCGCCTCTGCCGTTGGACCGTTCAACGTGTGCTTGCCACTTGCCGTGCGCTTCCCAGCACCCATCACCGGCCGTGACTATCATTGCTTTCACTGTGCCAGGAGCAGATGATTCAAAGGATGCCGCTGCGACCTGCGAGCAGCCCAGGTGATTTTTCGCAGATTTCCGGACTACGACCAAGTTGTCGCAGTGCCTGTGAGGTTCCTGCGCTCCAGGGTGTTCCACAAACTCCTGACAGCCGCAAGTCGGCCTCGCCTGCCCGGGCCTTTCCCTTTCTCCATGAGGGTGCCTGAAGGATGTGGTACTTTCGGGCTGAAAGGCCTTCACCCCACCGCCGCGGGTGCGCAGTGATGTCAAGGAGCCTGTAGCACATCATGGCAATGCCGCCATGAGCCGGCACAAGACAGCACCAACTGCAGAAGTCGCTTGAGCAGATCAGCTCCGATTTCCATAAAACCCACGGGCCCACGACACAAGACATGCCAGAAACCCTGCTCCGACAATCATTTCGAAGAGGTTCAAGCTTCGTAAAGTCAGCTGGTGTGTAATTTTAGAGTCCAAGCCCAATCAGATTTGATGCTGGACAAATTCGGGGGCAAGAGCTCCGCTACCGTGCTGTTCTTCTCGGCATGTTCAAACCAACAGTCGCCCCGTGGTTTAGGTTTGCTTGAACGAGGGGAGCTCTGTGCAGGGGTGCGAGCCGCGCAAGGGGTTGCGGGCCGGGAAAAAACTGCAAGCTTTTGTTGCCTGTAAGGGCATGAACTGATGCAGACTCGGCGTGGACGCCTGTCTGAAAATCTCCGCAGCCCTGGCTTCAAGGACATCCAGATATCCATGGGCGCAGGTGTGCGGTTTAGTCTCCATTCTGGCGAACGGTGGTAATTGAAGACTGGTCATGCGATGGCACTTGTGGCTGCAGCGCCGACAAGGGTGCTTCACACGGTCCCGGCCCCAGCCCATGCTGTGCAGGATGTTTCCGGTTGCATGCGAAGTTGTAGGTGCTGCACGCACGAAAATCTGCGGAGCGCTCGCCCAGCTTGCGATGGAAGTCGTCACTTCTGAGGCTTCAGACTGCATAGACTGCTTGAAGCCATGTCCATGTCGGCAATCTGGGAGTTTCGAACCTTCCCAACCTGCTGGAGAAAATCAGAGTATCAGGCAGCTGCTGGCACAGGCGTCTATAGTCTTTCACGACCTCGCATGCCGTCTGTCAGCCCGTGTCGACAGTGCAAGCAACAACCCTGCAGGCAGACTCCCTGGGCCGCCGTTTGCTTTTCTTCAAGAAGTGGCCGCCTCATCTTGACAAGCTTGACTGGGTGACACACAGACACACACACACACAGACACACAGACACACAGACACACAGACACACACACATAGACACACACACACACACACAGACACACAGACACACACACACACAGAGACACACACACACACAGACACACACACACAGACACACACACACACACAGACACACACACACACACACAGACACACACACACACACACACACACACAAACACACACACACACACAAATACACACACACAAACACACAAACACACAAACACACACAAACACATAAACAGACACAAACACACACAAACACGCACACACACACACAAACACACAAACACACAAACACACAAACACACACACACACACACACAAAACACACAAAAACACACACACACAACCACACAAAAACACACACACACACACAAACACACACACAAACACACAAACACACACACACACACACAAACACACACACACACACACAAACACACAAACACACACACACACACAAACACACACAAACACACTCACACACAAACACACACACACAAACACACACACACACAGACAGAGAGACACACACACAGACACACACACACACAGACAAACGCACACACAGACACAAGCAGACACAAGCAGACACACACAGACACACACAGACACAAGCAGACACAAGCAGACACACACACAGACACACACAGACACACACAGACACACACAGACACACACAGACACACACAGACACACACAGACACACACAGACACACACACACAGACACACACACAGACACACACACAGACACACACACAGACACACACACAGACACACAGAGACACACACAGACACACACAGACACACACAGAGACACACACACACACAGAGACACACGCACACACACACAGAGACACACACACACACACACGCACAGACAGACACACACACACACAGACACACAGACACACACACACACACACACACACACACACACACACAGACACACACTTGACACATCGTGTCGCAGGTCTGATCTGTCGGTGCATACTGTCAGGGAAAGTCAGCAGCTGTCAGGGAAAGTCAGAGGCTGCACGAGAAAGTCAGAACATGCAATCTGAAGTACTACCATAGGACAAACACGAATCACTCATGTAAGACTGACATGTGCAGACCCTCACTCATGACTGTCGCATTCACAGGCAAACTCTTGAACAGGAACTGAGCAAGAAACTGACCAATGCAAGCCCTCACTTAAACACAGCTCGGAAAGGGGTTTGTGGCTTGGCCCCCGTGCCATTTCAATGCAGGTACACAATCTGGCGTCCCAGATTGCTTCACAGCACTTCTATCACCGTCTTCGTTGGGCAGTGGATGATAGAAGGCTCACTGCCCCCCTGCTGCTTAACTCACTCACATCTCTTGGAAACAGAGTTGGACACACACAAGCCCCGAGGGGCTCCTTGCAATGTTGACAGTCGTTGTGCAATTCGACTTCAGCTTCTTCCGCATCAGCATCGAAGTACATGCAACACTGAGTTGCAGTTTGGTACGCAGTATTGGCCAGTGACACGATACTCACTCGCAAATGCTCCTGTACTAGCTCTACCACAGCTCTCATCCACCTTTTTGACGGGCTGCTCAACATGGTGCAAGCCACGGCATTGATTTGGACAAAACGGATGGTGGTATGCAAAGACTGAAAGCCCATGGTCAACTCAACCGAGGAGGACAGCCGAAATTCCTGTATCCCACGTCGCAGGAACGTGTACGCCACCATGGTGTCGGTTATGGGTTGTGCCTCTTCTGGGGCATCATTTCGATCGAGGCGAGTAATGAATGTGATTCTGGCTCTGATCGGCAACACGTACATCAAGATGTTCTCGAGCACGTCAGAAGCGGCCCAATCCATGTTGTTCGGGATCTACACAATTTTCAGAGTGCTTGAAACAAAACTCTGTTGCATGTCTGATGAAAGCAGCTCACAACACCGCAGCACTTGCACATCTCTGACATGTTACTCTGCACATTTCTTGCACTGCACTTGCACGAACCTCGCACATCCCTTGCACATCACTTGCAATCCGCTTGCACATCCCTTGCTCGTCACTTCTCTTGACATGACACAGAGGTGGTCTCTTTTTATACCGTCACAACGAAATCGACTGGTTCAAGGGTTTGAGCAGTCGTTACAGGTTCCGTAAACCGAAGATGGCGAAAGTTTTGTACAAGCTGGAAGGTGTGTAACCTAGGCCACCAGCCGAACTTCTCCCAGAGCTGCATCGCGACAAGGTATTTGGCAACGTTGATGGAATCGTTGATTGATAGCTGGATGTGGAGAGTAATAGTCTCGTGTCCGGTTGCCCGACTGCATACACGAACCCACATCCGAAAAATGTAGTCGCGGCTCGTACTCCAAGGCAGATTGGCTTCACGGGCCTTGCGCTTCATGTTGGGCAACCTACACAGTTTCACTGGATGCCAAATGCTGCAACTCAAGACGGTTCATGCAGAAAGCTGAAAATGCACAGCACGGCAAACGCGCACTCTTTAGTTTCTTTTACTTTCTTTGTGCAATCTCTCACTTTCGGTCAAGAACGTACTGCACAAGTTTCAAAGTGGACGAAAAACGCTTCCTAGGGCCTTGCTTTTCTTTGGCAATGCGTTCGCCATGCTGTCTCAAGAAATCGAGAATGAACTGAGCTCTGTTGTGAATGAAGAAATCGTCACCAAGCACTCTCGTGCCTTCCATTCTGCGGCGAAATTGGGTACTGGGTGCAGGACGAATCTTGATGCGCACACCATCAGGCCCTTCATCAATCATACGAAGTTTGCGTTTCCGCGGTGGGTCCGTCTGCAACATGTTGGTGTGCTCTGCAGCGGACTGCTTCGGCTTTGGGACATGAACTAATCGACCAGAGGACGAAGACGTAGACTGTCGGTCAATGGATGAAGACGCATTAATACTCTCATGATCAAGAGCAAAATCAGCCGAATCCGGATCGCTGGCCAAAGGAACACCTGATGCCACATCTGCACGTCGATCACGTTCTTGGTCCGATACTGCAAGGTCTGACGAGAAGTCGGAAGAGTGCACGTCCGATACAGAGGCAACATCGCTCTCGAAACTGGACACCGACATGATGGAAAGCTACTTGTACGTTCCGAATCTGTCTTGCACTGCAGAGAACCTTGAGGACATGAGGCAAGACAATGTCTGCAAACGCTCACAACACATGGTGCCGGCAGATCGCTTGTATCACCCTTGCACATCACTTGCACATCACTTGCACGTCCCTTGCACATCCCTTGCAACACCCTTGCAGTGACACTGGCGCACAGACGCTTGTTTACAACTGCTCACGTTTCACTCTGAGACTTCAATCTCTGCTGGGAGCGTTGGGGGCAACTCTGTTGTTTCTTGTAGTTGAAGAGAATTAACACAATGGGAAGTCACAGATTGAAGAGAATGCAAATCCGTCAGCAAGTTGCCCACCACTTCGTTGGTCTTCTGAAGTTTCTGAAACAGTTCTGTGATGGCAGACATGACTTCTGCCACCTGAGTCTCCGTGTCCCTGATTTGTGTGGTGAGCACGTCGAGTTGGGCTTGTTGGATCTTTTGGACGGAGAAAGCTTCTTCGCGAAAGTGACGGAATTCACCTCTGATTGTGATCAGCTCCTGTTGTGTGTAGGAAATCCAGCGTTGAAGAGGTGCCAACGGGTCGCACGCTGAGTTGCTCGACATTAGTGCAATGGGACGACACTTGAGCAGGGTGCTGCAACACTGTTCTGGTATGCAATACAACATGAATAAAACAATACTCACAGCACTTGCATCCAATGCACATTCTTTCCTCACTTCAGCACTCACATGCGTCACAGATACAAGCGAAACCCTGTCACTCCGGACATACTCAGCTGAGATCAGACGATTGACTGCGTCGAAATCGGCGTGATTCACGCCTTCTGGTAGGCATGGGTTTGGATCTGATCGGAGTACCTGACGTAGCTGAAGATGTAGGTGCAGCCGACGACGAAGCGGTACTCGACACCAAAGGAGGTTCAGACACACGATGCCCCAAGCTTCCTGGTGGTGCCGGGGGTGGAAAGACGGGAGCACTGGCACTGGGCGGGG